GCGGGCGTGATACAGCGGGAACCTTAACACCGGGTGTCCGCCATCACCACAACCAGGGTCAAATCTGTGCCGTACCTTGCAGCATTGGCGTAGCCGAACACGTCGCCGTGGCACGTGGCAAGCAGCGGTATGGCACAAAGCGTCGCCGATGACACTTAGTACCGAATAGAAGGCTTGTTCGACGGAGGAGCTTCGAGAAACTCCCATCGACGCCATCCACGCATAAATCTAAAAGACTCCGACCCACGCCGTTCTGCACGCTAGAGAAGACGAAGTCTCTACCTTCATTTGTCGCGCTCAGAAATTCTGGAGAAGGACACAGGATTTCTGGTGCACCACGACTTCCCGGGCCTTGCTTCGTCACCAACGGGGTCCTTGCAGAGGCGTGGGTCTACGTCAGGTCGGGTTCTGGTGGCCCTACGTCATGGGCTGTCTCTGCTTCTCCAGTAGACACGGACCCGATGAGTTACAACTGAGAGACCAGTCACTTTGCGAGCCGGAAAGACAGATCACCGTTGGCGACGCCGGTCTCCCCTTCCTTTGCCGCGCCTGCGCCCGCCTTCTTTCTCCCCCGGCTTTGACTGCCCCGTGACTTCATCAAGGTGTGTCCATACCGGTGCACCTGAACCCAGTCTTCCGCGATGATCTAGCGTGATCAGCTCCACAGGTTCCGCTGATCTCAGCCTCATTGCCCCTTGGACTGTTCTATGCAGGGTCTCCTGCAGATTGTATCGGGTACGGCCGGTCTTTCACGCGCAGGAACTGCTCCTGCCGACTTCGACCGGCTTCCCGCGGTCTCTATCCTAGGGGTGCCTCTTAGCGTTTTTCCCCAGCGTCTCCCGCCGTCCATTTTGGTTGTACGTCGTGTTTCCCGGTGGCTCCGGGCGCCCCGGCCCCGCCTGCTTTGCCCTGCGGTCCGTGTTTTTGCCCTCCTGTTTCTTCTCCTGTTCCCTCTCTGTGTGTGCAGGCGCTCCTCTCCCTCTCCTCTCTCTATCTTTCTGCCTCTCCTCTCGGCGCGGTCTCTCTCTCTTCTCTCTCTCTCTTCGTCGCTCTCGTCTCTCTCCCTCTCTCCTCTCTCTCCCTCTGTCTACACTGCTCCCTTTCTCTGCTCTCCTCTCTCCCCGTCTCTCTCTCCTCTCATATGATCTCCCTCTTCTTCCTCTCTCTTTTCTGTGCGTCTCCTCTGTCTCTGTTCTCTTCTCTCATTCTCTCTCTCGCTCTCGTGCGCTCATAGTTCTTCTCGCCCCACCACGCGTGCTGCGTGCTACCGTCATACGCGTCTTCGGGCCGGCTGTCGTTCACACTCGTCGCTACATACGACCGCACGTTGCTCTCACGCAACGTCGCGTCGGCCCGCATCATTTTGGTCGGCTCATCGTGAATAGCGTTTTGCAATGGAGGTATGCTCGCTACTACGTGGTCGTTCACGCGACCACGGCAGTTAATCGGCGCGCAAGTCGCACGTGGCTTTTGCTCGCGTGT